CAAGCAGTGTTGGGTGGCATATCGACAATGAAGTTGGCTTTATGGTGCCCAACCCCCCTGACAAATGGGGAATTTCCATGTGATTGGGAGGAACGGAGAGAGGGAGCTGGCGGTATGTATTTAATATGCCATCTATTTTGTATTTTTTCCTGTCCATAGTTATGGAGAATATTATCGTGTGTTAGATTTGTTGTGATTTTCATTTCAAGCGGAAATATTTTTATTTTTGTACTTCAAAAGTTTTTTGCTTTTTTTGGTTCATCAAAGGCAAGTTCTTTAATGAGGAGAAAATGACGACCGGAGGGGGTCTTATTATAGATTTCTTACGAGGAGGAAAGTAAGGAAAATTATGATATCTTATAGATCTTAAGGCTGAAAATTATTGTTGTTGTTGTAGCAGTAGTACATGTAAGTGTTTGCGTTCAGCACACCAGTTCCTAAACGTATGAGTGATTTCATAAATTTCTTATATTTAATATCACTCATACGCAGACTTTTCATACAAACGACTGGGGCCCAAGGAACTAGATGAGCTCGACAGAACCAGATTGGCTCAACTCCACTTGGAATTTTACAAATTAGTATAAACATCCGCAATAGTTGATACAATAAAACATTAGCAATTTCTCAGCAAAGCTCCTGAACTTGTTCCCATTGACCCATTATCGTCACCATCATGTCATCCATAATTACCGCATTTTTCGAATTTCAAACCCATTTTCCATTTTGTTTTGGCATTCTTTTTTTTCAACTACTTACTCATCACGGTTAAGGTGTTGTCTTTGACACCCAATTCCAGAAAAATGCGTCCACGTCGCTCAGTGTGATCACATCCGCATAAGCTGGGCACGTTCTCCTTGCAACGTGCATGCACGTTCATGTCACATGCTGTTCAAGGTAAACAAAAACATTTGTTTAACCCAAACAACAACCGCAATGGAAGATAACAAAAAAAAAAAAAATAAAGAACAACAACAAATTATTCTATTTATCCTCAACAAAAACACACAACAGGGTATTGTGTTGTTGTTTTTTGTTATTATGTTTTATTATTTTTTTTTCAATGGGAATGGGGTATTTGTTGCAACTGGTTGTTAAAGGTGGTGGTGGTGGGTGGATTTAGTTTGGTGGGGGATGATTAGTAAAGAGACAGTGAAAGTATATTTAGTTAGCTAGATTTGGTTTAAAATAAAAGGACATTAGACCAACACTCATAGACACACACACACACGCAGCACATACATACACACCCCCACACAATGGTATTATGGCATGATTTGGTTATGAGGACATAACACACACACTCACACTCAATTGTTAGAAAAATGAACCCATTTAAAGCAATTGAAACCGGAAACAAATATTTAAGAAAACAAGAATAAAAAACACATACTTACCTGTTGTCGCCAGGAAGTCAAAGGACCTTCTTGAGCTCAAAAAATAAATTTAGTTTCATTCCATGATTTCCGAAAGGGGAAATTTGAAATTGATTGAAAACATGTTGGCCATTCTCCAGCAACACACAAGGTCAGTCATTAAGGACATGTGAAGTGTATTAAATAAACATTGACTTAGTCCTTCTTTCAATGACAATGGTCAATGGTTGGTAGTTTTTCTAGGCAATCTTTTGGCAATATTAACAAAACAAGTTATCTTAAGTACGGTCAACTGGCTGAGGGAGAGCCTTGTGTGTGTGTCCTGCTTTGTTCACATATCCAAAGTTTATTAGGTCTTTTAGTGCCGGACACACAGACACACATATCCACACACGCTCACACATTATGTTCGAATTGAATGTGGCAAAATCAATTTTCACACGAATAAACCTACAAAATTATTGACCGTAAAAGTGTAAACATGTTCCACTTTTAATAAACATCTACGACTAGGTGTAATTTTCCAAGTTCCCCCATCTCTCCTCTCTCTTTCCCTCTCTCTTCGTCGTGTGTGTATGAGTGAGTGTCATAATGTAGCTATTTTATAGATTCAAAGACCTAACACACAACTGTAAAAAGTTTTTTTTTTTTTAAAGGGACATCACATGGCTTCATCTGTTAGGATTTCACACTTAGCTTCAAATGAAAGGATATATTTTTATACCCACACACATACACACACAGATCTTTTATGTTGCCATGTATATATGCTTAGAATATAAAAAGTTTATTCCTGACAAAGTCAAAGTTTATTCTCTAATCGTTTAATAGATTTTTCGAAAGTGAAAAAAGAGGTTATTTGCTTAAAGGCCGAGGTTAAATATTTGAGAGACTATTGACATTCTTGGGAGACGAAAAGAAAGGGATAAATTGGGGTTAAATGATTGAGTATTTTATGAGAAAATTTTGGTGTTTTTCCACAAGGAGTCTAAGAAGTTTTCTGTGAATAATCTCTTCCGAAATTTGGTGAAATATAAATACAATTTAGAATGGCCCTTTTTCTCTGCAAGGCTTAATGGAATGAAATTTCAAAGTAAATGCAAATTCCGACTAATTTTGGTCTTAAATTTTAAACAATTTACAGATTTTTTATATCCTACAGCACGATGTGCTGGGTATTATTATTTGGCCAAAAATTATGTAACACCTCGAAATATTGGTCCCCGACATAGGAAACAATATATGGATCTTCCTGTCTCGCCGAGCTGAGTCGACCTTGGACATTCCCACAAGACTCAGCACCATCGCACTCAGCACGCGCCACCCAAGATGGTTACAAAATGAGTTTCCTCGCTTCATTTCCAGCGCACAATGGCCACCAAAATCTCCGGATACCAATCCGTTGGACTACTGTGTCTAGAGTATTTTGGAAAGCAAGGTTGGCACTAAAAACTACCAAAGTGTCGGTCACCTCAAGCAAGCGTTTCGCGGGAATGGGTCAAAATACCGCAGAGCAACATTCGGGCAGCGTGTGACGGTTTCATTGGCCGCCAATTCGAACAAATCTAACTTGTTATAAATTTTATGCTATTTTCGACATTTTTGCTTTCATTCAATAAATTAAAAAAAAGGAAAAAATTATGGCGTTTGACTTTGTCGCAGCTTTTTTATCCCAACCTGTATGTAAGGCATATCTATATATTTTTATAAAAAAACTAATCAGATTTTTTTTATTTATTTTTTTTTTGAGAATTTCTGTTTCTATCCCCCACATTTTTAAATGTTTTTGAAAGTCCTCTTTGATATTGGTAATTATCACCTGTCTGTAAGCATTCCGCATTTCATAAATAAAAATAGTAATCCCTTTTTTTGAGTTCACCACATTTTTGTCATTAATAAAAATTCATTTTCCTTGTGGCCTTTTTGGAAATAAACGTTTTGCAGTGGGAAATGCTGGCATGTGTCTGTGTCTGTGTGTAAAACATTAATTGCGTGGTGTTTGGTGTACCGCTAACTGTAATGAAGTACATGCAATTGCAGTTATGACAATTTGCATGGGAGCGAGCGAATGTGTGCGTGTGTGTATGCGAGTAAGCATTTTTAATTATAACTGCGTTTTATCCATAAAATTAAAACAACAGCAACAACAACACCACGTTGACACACTCACACATGATTAAGCATAATATTATGAAGGATATGTATAGTGGAGTTCAGCCAAAGCCATGTGGGAGAGAGGGAGAAAGACACACACACGTATAGCGAGTCAGCTTTTAAAGACAGGTGGTTGGTGGTGTTGAGATTGAAAATTGCCACTGCCTGACGTTGTAGTTCGCACACAAATCCCGGCCATAAA